CTCTTTAGGGAAGACTTTTCTAATCTCCACTATCGCTTCAAGTTCCTCTATGTATGTTTCCAGAATCTGATATAACCATTTTTCATAGCACATATCACACATGTAATTTTACATTTACTTTATATTCATTTGATCAACATTGAGGACACAGACCATGTTAATTTTTACTTGTTAATACCTACAGGTCATAGATTGATATCTGACATAGGGTGGAATTCACAGCAATCATATTGAATAAGTAAATAACAAGGTTAAAATAACTACAAAAGTAATACACACTCTATGAAAAAAAATAAATAAATAAAACAACATGGAGAAAAGTACAGCAAAGCAGTAGCTATGTGTCTGTCATCCCACCACCTGGGATTATTGTGTCTCTGTCCTTCTAGGTGTTTCTGTATACATGCATACATAAATATTATCTTACTTATAAAACTAATCTATTACATATTATTTCCCACTTTAGTGTTCACATCCCCTCACCTTGCTCAACTTGGAATTCACACTTTCGCCTTTGCTAATTTAAAATTTTCAGTGGTAGGGCCTCCCAGGTGGCACAAGGGATTAAGATGCAGCACTATGAAGCTGCTGCAGCCACTACAGCACAAGTTCGATGCCTGGCCAGGGAACTGCCCACATGGCGCAGCTGACCTCTCCTGACTCACCCGCTGCTCCCCTCAGCAGTGTATTTCAGTCATTCTGCCTGTTCTGCTCCCCACTCTGTCTCTGGCCCCACATCTCTGGCCTGAACCCCAGCTCTTGTATGTATGAATAAATAAATCTTTTAAAAAAAATTTAAAAATAAATAAAAAATAAAATTTTAAACTGGTATCTAATTTTTGTTTTACCATTATTTTTGGTTTTAGAAAAGAAAAAAAAACATGTTTATGTATATGTTAGTTATATGTTAGTTATATGTATGTTTTTGTTTTTGTTTCTTTGTGGCTCACGTAGTCAAAGTTTTTCATGACTGCTCTGGTATGTTCATATTGTTTTCTTTTTACTCCTAAAAGTTCTTTACATGTAAAAATTATAAGCCATTCACTTGTATTATTATATCTTGTAAATTTTGTCTATATATATTTACCTTTATATTTTGCAATTGACATGCAGAAATACTGTTATATTTATGTTGTCAAATCTATTATTTCTTGCTGTGAAGGTTGTTATTTCTTGTTATGATCAGGCAAGTCTTCCTTAGTTTAAAATTACGTAAACCCTGGTGGCACAAGGGATTAAGCACTGAACTATGAAGCAGTCCGCAGCCTCTGCAGCATGAGTTCGATCCCCGGCCTGCCTGGGAGAAACTCACATGGGGAGGCAGACCTCTCCTGTCTCGCCCGCTGCTCCCCTCAGCAGTGTATTTCAGTCAATCTGCCTGTTCTGTTCCCCACTCTGTCTCTGGTGATTTCTCTCACTCCCTGCATCTCTGGCCTGTACCCCAGCTCTTATATGCATAAATAAATAAATCTTAAAAAAAAATAAAATAAAATTACATAATACTTAAATTTTCTTCAAAATAATTTATGCTTTAGCTTTTTCATATTTAATTTTTTGACCTACAATTTATTTTGGAGTGAATCCTGTGAGAATTTATATATTTTTCAAAGCATGGAACAATTATCCCAGCACAAGTTTTCAATTAAATTGAAATGCTAATTTATTCAAAGCCTAAGGAGTAACACATACCTGAGTCTATTACTAGGCATTATCTTCTGTTCTAGTGCCAATAACAATAAAGTGTTTACTCATATTAAAGTTATATACACTTTTTAAAATAACTGGCTATATATGATTATCTTCAAGTGTTTATTATCATAAAAGATTTAGAATTAATGGGTTAGATTCCAAACACACACACATATATGTTATACTTAAATTTGCATTAGATTTGACATCTATAAAATATTGCGTATTTCCATTTATGTCATGCATCACCATTTATTCTAATTTCCTTTTTTCCCTCTTACTAGTACTTTATAGTTTTATAGTTTATCTTGGGTTTTTTTAGAACAAAATATGTAACCAACAAAAATTTTAGTTTGAATTACTTTAATAGTTACAGTTTACACATTCTGTGTTTACTCAATACATTGGCTAAAATCTTTAAAATTAATAGTTAATAATCTCTGTAATAATCAGTAATTTTTAGTATGTTTTTCCATAAAATAGAAAGCAGCTTGTTGGAAAAGGATTTTTTAATTATTTGTTTTGAATAATAAGTTAAAGCAGTGATTCTCAACTAATGACTAAGCAACTCTATTAAGGAATACCGATTTAAAGGAAGTCTTAATTTATTGTTTATTCCAACAATGCAAGTTGAGTTGTATCTATTACTTAGATAAATTATATTCATGGATTATTCTAGATTGAACGATCCTTCTTTACTTAAAAAGGTTACACTCAATTGTGATTTTTTTTCCTTCTATTAATTTACTGGATTTCATTCATTGCTGTTTTACTTACAATTTTTACATTTTATTTACACTAAACTGCTCTTAAGTTTTCTTTTCTTGAATTATCTTTAGTAGCTGTTTAAAAATTATTTTATATTTGCCTCCGAAAATGAATTGGAAAAGTTTGCATATTTTCCTTTGCTATAGATTAGAGTATACAACATAAAAAGTGTCTGATACTTAAAAGAACATGTCACACATTTATGTGAGTCAAATATAATATTGGAGATAAATCTTTGATGACCTTATGTTTTTTGTTATTATTTGTTCTTTCAGTTTTATTCTTCTTTAGCCAACTACACTTTATATTCCTATATATAATCTATTTTTCAATTTCAAAATGGTACTATGTAGATATATATTTTTATAAAATTACAGTTATATCTTTTCAACATCTTCCATTTGAATTCTCATTAATGATTTTACATATTGCTTTCTTTGTATGCTTGAAGTTATTAGAGATTAAATCCGTATCTCTTTAAATAATTCAAGACTTCTAGTTTCCTACTTTCTCATTCATCAACTTCTGTCTTTAACTTGCACAAGTTGATATGAGTAAACTTAGTGGTCAGAGCTACAGAATTAGTCACAAGAAAAGGAAAAATAATATATAATATATAAAACATCTTTTTATACCTGGAAGATTTATTCTTACTTTCTCACTTCAATTGTCTATTTTGTTTCAGTTTATTACTGTTTTATTTTCTTGTCTATGTATTTCACTATTTTATGGTTTCTTTCATTCTCTTTTCTCTCTGATGACTTAAAAGGTGTATATCCTTCTTTAAAGACTGCCAGAACAAAGTAAGTCATAAATACTTCCTATGGCCCTCATGACTCAACTCCAGTTTCCTATGATGATAGTCCCAGATTTTAATATAATACACACCTGTATATATATATAATATATATATACACACACATATATATATGCATACACATAAGTATAATCTATTAGTTGTGTATACTTTACACACAGGTCCCTCACTAATATATTATCATTTATAATGTTATATAGTAATAATAGAATGTATTATTGTTTCAAAGTTCATTTTGTTACTTTTACAGGAAAACTTAAAATTATCTAATTTCAATAACCATGTCTATAATATGTTCAACTTATTTTACTGCCTTTCTATCAATAGCCTTAATATATGTACATATATATACTTTGCATATCATTGTTTTATTCTTGAATTTTATTCTTATTCATGTATTTTATATTCAGTTTGATCTTGTAATTTAACACTTCTTGCATTTTTTTAGCAAAAAAAAGCAAAAGATAGCTTCTGTTTGTTTTCACATGTGAGTGGCATTTAGCAGGCTGCACAATTCTGCTTTTTCTCTAAATAAGCATGGATTTGGTACCACTCTTAACTTATATTTAATGTTGTAGAGAATTCTAAGGTAGCAAGCTTTCGTTCCCTTCTGTTTTTCTTTCGCTCTTTTTCACTGTTTTTTCTTGTACTGTGAGGATATATAGCAGTAATTATTCTTGATTTTGATCTGTTCAAATTAAATGTACCTACCCACAGGCTTGTTTCATGTATTTTAGTTGTAGTTTTTCTTTTTTCTTTGTATATATTTTACATCATTGTTTATTTTTAGACAATATTTGCTTTTTGTTACCCCCTCAGGTGTAATCCCCATAGAATTTCCTTCACCAATTCACCCTTGCACCATCACCTCAGTTCCCTGTGGTCCTCCCTCCCTCCTCCTGATCCCTTCCCCTGCAGAATGTCTCTGGTTTATAACTGTCTGTTTGTTTTTATTTTTTTGTGGTGTGTTTTGTATTGTTATTATTTTTTTCCCCTGATGTCTTATTTGGTTCCCCTATATTCCTCCTATAAGTGAAACCACCTAATACTTTTCTTTTTCCTTCTGACTTATTTCACTGAGCATAATTCCTTAGTTGTAGTTTTTCATTACTCTTTCCTTGGTAGTTCTGGGCTCATATTCAAATGAGCAATTATCTACATAAATTTTCTATATCCATTTCTCTATTTCTAATACCTTCTCTTCTGCAATTTTTATCTCCTGATCTTATCTCCTGCATTCAGGTACATGCAGTTTGTTATTCATACTACGTATTTGTTTTGATGCACTGGTGTCTCTTTATGCCTTCAGTGCATAGTAACTTCTACTACTGCATTTAAATTCTACAAGATTCTTCATAAGCTTCATTACTTTCCTACTTAGCTTCTGTCTACCTCAGTACCAGCTACCATTTCAACTCAGACTATTGTGGACTCACCTCATGCTTCACCTATTATCTTATAGAATTTATAATTTTTAAGATTAGTAAACATACATTATCTAAAACTTACTGCTCAGATAAACTTAAATATCCTTCCTATCTGATTTGTTTTTGATCCCCTCATTTTATGTTAAATATCTTTTTAAATCACTTTAATTCTTTATATTTTCACTGATTCATCCTTGAATTATGATTCTAAATCTAATTTTTTTTTATTTTTTAACAAAACCTCAAGTTGAAGCAAACTCAACCAAACAGCATATCCCTAACTCACTATCACTTCTTACCTCTCATTCCCTGGGGCGACGTCAGCTCCAAGATGTGTCCAGGATTTTTTAGGATAAGCACTGTGAAGCTGGACTTTTCCATAAACACCTGAAAATAAAAGGAGCAACAGATGGATTGGAAAAACCTTCACAGAGATTAAGTTGACATAGCAAAACTCCAAAGAGAGGTTATTGTGCAAAGAAACTGTACATGAAGATCTTCACCTGACCAGAAAAAGAATATTTAAAACTCTGTTTTCAGCATATGATATATATATCTCACATGGCCATGAAAGTTATTCTCTGAAACTATCAAGAAATGAATACTGTATCATATCAAGTCATCCATAAACTGGGAAACAGACATCTCTAACAGTTAGCTAGTTATATTTTTACCATTAGATCATACCAACCTGTGTGCAATTCTGTTGGAAGTTAACTGGTTTTGATGTTTCATGTTATACACTTTTTTCTAAAAGACAAAGATTATTTTATTTCCTAAGGAAAGAGATTTGGTGCTATTAGCTTTGTTTTCAGCGGTTGGGCCTCATATTTTTGTTTTATTACAGATATCAAAAGCTAGATCTTTAGGCCCTTTGTTTCAAAATATAATTTATTTCAGACTCACAAATTAAAGTCTTACCAGGGACATGCTTGATGCAGTCCAGTTTTATTCCTTCAGGTATTTCCTCTTACATGTTTTACTGCCATTTTATATCATATGAAGCACAATATCTCATATTCTACTGATCTAGAAATGTTTTAAGCATAAACTCAAGCATCTAAAAAGTATGATCATGCACCCTTAATTCATGTGTATTTATTTGTAGATAAATATGTATGTATGTATTTGAACATATTCATATACATGTATAAATATAAGTTCTAATATTTTCTTCCTGTACCCACATGGGCTGCCTGTATATGCCTGGCATCCTGTTTTGCTACAAATCATTAATCTTGTAATCTAAAGATTTCACTATTTTTAACAAAAAACATATGAATAAAGGAAGCAAATGCCAATAATGAGCAGATAATATGCCTTTGGTTTTCATCCAATTTGAACCGAAAAATCTTAGTTAAGTAGAACCTAATAAACTGTTTATTCAACATCCCTAATTTCCTCCATACTCTTAGAAAAGTCAGAAGATGATAGAATTAAAATCACAATTAATGAAAATGTAAAAAATACTCTCAGTTAAGTAGAACCTAAAGACTGTTTAGTCAACATCCATAATTTTCTCTACACTCTCAGAAAAGTCAGAAGATGATAAAATTAAAATCACAATTAATGAAAATGTAAAAAATACTCTCACTTTCTTTCATAATAATAGATATATTGCAAAGTTTCATACAATATCATCATCATTATAAATGCCATTCATTTTCACTATTGGTTAAGTAAGCTAGGCAGGGGAAACACATGAAGCAACTTAGAGAAATTTCCAACAACAAAGATTGTAAAAAAAGCAGTTCATTTCCTTAAATTTGAATTAGCCAGAAAATCCAATTGACCAGAATAGCAGATCTTCTGGTCATTCCCAATCTTCAGAGCTTTACTGTAAAATGGCACCATTTCTTAGTTGTTTAAAGGAAATGATAATACTTAAAAAGATTAAAGTCTGTTGATTACTAATGATATCACAAAACTTTAAGTATGCAGTGAAACAAACATTTCATTCCTTATTCAATTTAGTATCAGAGAGATCTAGAAAAGAAGTAGTTTGATTTTGTCCCTGCAGTCTGGAGTCTGGAAAGCTGAACTCCTATACTCCTCTCTAATGCAAAGCTTAATCCATTGTGGCACCCCATAAAGCACAGCGGACACCATAGCAAAAAAGAGATACGATCCACCTAGTCTGTTAACTTGAAAAAATTATATAATTCTTGAATCTCATGTTCGCAAAAATGGTAAAATAAATAGCATATATGAAAAATCCTTTGGAAACAATAAAACACTATCAAAGCATTATATGTTAATGGTTATATATTACAAAACCAGATTACCAAACTTCGTCCTAGCCTTATATGATTATTTTCCCTTTACTGAATCACTGATATCTTATTAAATTAGTCATTCATATAGAAAAAGTAAGAAAATATTAAAATGTGATAGCTTCTTATATATATATATGTCCCTTAAAATTGAGTTATTGTGTGTTTTTTACAGCATGGTTACACAAGACCAGTCCCAGTTTCTATGCATCTAGGTAGACCAGATTTAAAATAGGACAAGTTATTGTGGCAGTATCAAATGAAGAAATTGTCAATATTCCTTAGCAATCTACGGATCTATCAGTTTAAAAATATATGTATATACACAGTATATAACCACACAGTATTGATAGTTGATAACATAGACTCAGTCCAGACTTTGATGTCTGGCCAATCTCCATATAAATCTCAGTTAAGATATTATAAATCTGTGTGGCCTTCTGCTTATTGCTCATCATCTGAGTCTTAGTCTGACATCTGTAGTAATGGACACTGTTACCAGAAGAACTGATTAATGATGTAATAAGAGTTATCTAGATGAGTGCCTGCAATTCAGCAGGTATTTTATGAATGGTACTTCTCTATCACACACACATTTCATTTAAAAGAAACAAAGCTATATTATACTCTTACCAATTGTCCCTGGATCAATGTGAATTCCATTGAAGCGGTCACAAAATACTCCCTCTGAGGCTCTAAGGAGAATCCGAAGCTTTTGTTCTTTTTCTAAGGGATTTTCTAAAGTACCTGTTTACAAAGAAGAGTATACCATCTCAATTAACTTGAAATTAAAAGAGGGAGGGGTTAATATTACCCTAACTTCAAGAATACAAAATGGATGCTAGAAAGTAGGCTATGTGGAGAAGAACCAATGGTCACACAGTTGGAATGAGAAAAGGGGACAACTAGTAAGTGGTTACTCTTCTCCATTATTGCAGTGTATACTGTGCTGAGCTGCTAATATTTAGTCTGGCCATGTGACTAGCTTGGGCCAATGAAATTTGAGTAGAAGTAATAGTACTGCCCCTGTGGTGTTGATTAAGAGGTTCTCACCAGATCACCTGCAATGACATTCTTGGTCATGAAAGAATTCCTCAAAGAGCCTCTAGTGAAGAGATATACACAGAAGACCTGAATGGCACATACAAGCTGGAACAAGATCCAACTGAGTCTAGCATAAAAAAGTTGTTATTGTAAACCATTGAGATCTGGGTATTATTTGTTACATTTATAACATTACAGCAAAACCTGGATAATACACTATTTATGACTGGATCCCCAAATTGCTTTACTTACATGTTAGTATTTTATCATCAGAACAAACCTAGGTAGTGTGATTCTTATTTCTATTCAAAATATTCATCCATAATAAGGCTTAGTGGTCAAGAGACTTGTCCACATTTATCCAAAAGTATTGATAGAATTCAGAGTCTGAATTTGAACAATGGTCAGTTTATGCTGTGTTTTATTCAATAAGTAATGCATTATTTTTAAAGTCTAAATTCTTTTAAGAGCATAGGACACAACCCATTCAGCTTAGGATATTCAGACAGCAGTTGGGGATAACTTCTAACCTCTCTGTGTTGATGTGAACCTGTTGTTGGTCATTTTTGCAATGTGAGAATTGTTTTGATAACTTGTGAAAATAGTGTCAAGTGAGTATGCATCCAATGAAGATTATTTTCTTGAGGAAATATATCTTAGAGTACAAAAAATACTACGCAGAACCAGTTTTCAAGAAGCAAACTTGATTGATTGATGTAGCAGAATTGGGGTGTAGGCCAGAGGGGCAGGGGATTAGAGGACTCACTGGAGACAAAGTGGGGAGCAGAACAGGTGGATTTACTGAAATGCACTGGATCAGCAGGCCAGACAGGAGAGGTCTGCTATGCCATATGTGGGTTAGCTCCCTGTCCGGGGATCAAATTCAAGCTGTGGCAGTGATAGCACTGAGACTTAACCCTTAGGCCACCAGGGAAGCTCAACAAACAACTAGTGTAAAGATGGTCTACAAACTATCTATTAGATCAAACAGGTTCACAAAAACAACTGCTACCAAAAAGACCCTCCAGAAATTCCTGAAAAATATTACCACGAATCAGGCTGCCAACTACAGTCTGAAGCAGATCATAAATTTAAAATTGCCTTATTGTGGGGCCTCCCTGGTGGTGCAAAGTGTTAAGCACTGCACTATGAAGCAATCGCAGTCTCTGCAGTATGAGTTCGATCCCCAGCCAGCCAGGGAAACAGACCTCTCCTGACTTGCCCGCTGTTCCCCTCAGCAGTGTACTTCAGTCAATCTGCCTGTTCTGTTCCCCACTCTGTCTCTTGCAAATCCTCTCACTCCCCACATCTCTGGCCTGCACCCCAGCTCTTGTATGCATAAATAAATAAATACTTTAAAAAATAAATAAATAAAATTGCCTCATTGTCATCTTGATTAAATGGTGTTTCAGGGGACATAAAGTCATTATCCCTAGTTGCTACTCCATAGATATCTGGCTAGCCAAAGGCTCAGTTAACCTCACAACTTACAAATTTATAGCCTAGTCATTATAGTCTAATCTTCGCAGTCATACTAAAAGGGACTGCTGAAAATAAGATGTTGAGAGGTAAGTACACCTATCTAGGGTCGCACAGTAGGTCAATGGGCGAAGAAGGATTAGAAGCCACAGCCTGTGTATTCAGTCAGAAAGGAAGGCATGGTAGCACTTGATATAGATGCTCCCAATCTCAGCTGAGGCACTGATGTGTCCTCTTAGCCAAAAGAAAGATGTGCTAGGGCAGAAAGAGGGGAAGCAGGGACAGAGGGAAACGCTAAGAAAATGTATGTGGTGTAGCCTTGTCTTGTGGTTAAAAGTCTGTACGGTAAGCCATTTTCCAACTGTGATTTCATTTATTTCACGGAGGGTACTTTAGATTCTTGGGGGGGGGGTGCAGGGGAAGAAATGGTCTTGCACTAAACAGATACCAGAGAGAAAAAAGTAGGACAGTTTTTGCCCTAGAGAAATGTATGCTGAGTCCCACAAAACGAGTTCAGCGTTCCTCTAAAATCAGAGATTAAATCAATTATGCAACCCAAAACTGCAGCACATGTGGGGCTTCCACAGAAAATCTGGGCAAAATTAGCCAGCCTTCCGTGATCCTCTGGTATCTAAAATGACCACAGTTTGGATTCCTTTTTTGAGATGTGGAGGAAGGGAAAGACGGGGGATAGGGACTGATAAGAAAGAAGGCAAGAGCAACCTAAGAGAAGGAAATACCGGCTATTTCAACACTCAAGTGCAATGCACCTGAAATTGTAGAGGCTGGTGAGTGGGAAAGCCTAAAGACCGGGCTCCTCATCTTATTCTCAAATTTAGTAGCCAGAGAATAATGAGGTGCCCTCACTAGTGTGCTCTTTGTCCCTGAAGGAGAGTGGCCCCCAGAGAAGTCACTCTCAGAAAGATGCAGTTCCTCTCTGGTTTTCCCTGTAAAGCTGCTGCAAGCTGCTCATAGCTGCAGCAAAAGGCATTTTCAACCTGAGTGGATTTAGATCCTTGCAGCAGAGGGGAAATCACATTCATGGCACTGTAAAGACACGCCAGGTGTTTTCGCATACATGATTTCATCTCATTCTCACAAGCCCATGATGGATATTATGGAGGTTCTTGTGAGGAAAATGAGACAAAGAGAGGTTAACTAACTTGTGGGAAATTACACAGCTAATAAGTTATGATGCTGGGCTTAGGCTTAATAAGTACCATCCTAGGACATGTGGGCGGGGAGCAATAGGAAAGAGGTAAGGGAAGTTGCCATTACTGAGCATAATGGTGGGCAATGGAGGGGAAACAGAATATGTTCCAGATGCTAAAATCACCTGAGGAGATGGAAGAAAATAAGTTCTGGTATACGAAAGATAACCATTATAATGACTTCAGGAATATGGTACAAATGGATTTCATGAAATTCAAAGGTATGAAAAGGGAGAAGGACCTTATATTATTTTATTAACTAAACCTCTTTGATAAAATCGAGTATGAATGTAGTTTACACATAAGCCCACTTTCTCAACATGACTCCTCACACCTTGTCACGAAGCCAACCACACTGAACTACTTACCGTTCCCTCTGCATTTTCTTTTGTACCTGCAAGACTCCCTGAGTGTTAAAATCCCTCACATCCATCCTGTCTAATCACACCTCAAAACCTGGCTGCACAGCAATTTCTTTTTTTTTTTTTGTGGGACCCTCACCGGCAGCAGGGGGGAACGAACTGGCGCTGCAGAGGCTGCGGGCAGCCTCGCAGCCCAGCGCTCAACTGCTGCGCCACCAGGGGAGGCCCACAGCAATTTATTTCTAAAAGCCTCTCTGATCTTACATTAGATGTCTGTTTTTGTGCAAAATCATCCATGCTCCTTGCATTCTTCAAGGAATGCAAGGAACTTGCCCTAAATGAATAGTGTGGAAAGTGGATAAATTTAAAGCCCAAAATTCTTCACTGCAGTGTTATCAACTTATGACAGACAATTTTTTCTCTTATTGAAGTAACATTGGCTTACAACACTGGGTATGATTCAAAGGTATGACTTCAGGAATCACATCTCTTCGGATGTATGTCACCACACCACAGCCATCCCAAGACATCCTAGTCGTCCTCCATCATATTTTAAAATGGTTTGAGACAGCAAACATTTCAAAACAACTGTGACAATTAGAACTCCTTCCTTTTCTCTCAGTTTCCTGGACAGGCTCACATACTGAACCACAGAAGTCCCTCAACAAACCTAGAAAGCAGCTCAGTTGGGATGTCTTCCAGGACCTGACTTGTTGACTAAGTCTCTGCTAAGTGGCCCTCTGTGGGCTGTCACAGCACACAAGACCACAAATAACTCTGATCGTCCTGTCTCCTTCTTTCAACAGTGTGTTATATTAGAGATGATGCTGTGTACTGCTAACAGAGTCATTTATAGTTTCTCTCTAGTTTATGTATTATCTATAGTTTATTTATCTATGTGGTGAAGTGATAATTTTTTCAATCTTCTTGCAGAAAATGATTTGGAATAAATACTCCACCAAAATAAAAACTCATTCCATCAGTAATTTGCAATAATTTTAAGCATTAGCGTGCTTTATATCACAGTTTCAAAATAAAGCAAAAATTGACAAAAATAAAAGGAGATACAGATATATCTATAATAACAGTGGCAAAATAAATATTTATAGAGTAAACAAAAAGTATAGTAAGGAAACAGCTTTTGAATTCTATAACTAGCAAAGTTAAGATAATAGGCATAGATGGAAAAGTAGACTCAGAAAATGTATATATTCTTTTCAGGCATGCAGCAGATATTTGTAAATAATAATCACATGATAGCCCTAAAGCAAGTTTAACATGCTTAAATGATTGGAATCATATAGCTAGGCTTGCTGACTGATTGACTATGTTCAATCAAAACATATAATTTATACTGGAAGAGACTTACAAAATGAACTATATTAAAATACAGATTTTAATTTATCTAGAGATACCACTAAGAGAATGAAAAATCAAGCCACTGTGTAAGTACATATAACTGATGTTGAAAAAGTACATTCCAAAATATAGAAATGATTCCAATAAATCAATATAAAACAGATAATCCATCATAAAAAAACAAGACATCGCACAGGCAATAAATACTTAGAAAGTACAAATCACATTAGAAATTAAAGAAATACAAATTAGAATAATAAAATTTCACTATATACCCACTAGAACGGATTTA